ATAATAACTTACCCGGATAACCCGGGTAATTTAATAATACCCGGGTAAAGATTTTCTCAACGGGTCCAATCTCTAGTATTAATCATACAATTAAAAAACTACCCATTTTTATTTCTATATACTAAATATGCTAAATAAAATAAAACATTAGTAAATAGGTTTTTGGATACTTAGTTTCGGAGATTCTCGTCCCAACCACCGTGTAGAGGTGTGTGTATCTCAACGGTTGGGAAGGTATCAATATGTTGTGGTTTTCGGCGCTGAAAACTAAAAAACTGAAAAGCACTTCATATTTCTACCCCAACCAGTCTCTCCTGTATCTCCCATATAGAGGCTGGACTCAAGTCAACTCGTAGCTTAAAAACCATAATCTTGAGTCAAGACTCTCTACTTAAACAGATGTTGAATATTCTTCCTGAAGATTTTTTTTTTTTTTTTATAAATCTTATATAAATCTTATATAAATCTTCTATGAAGCTTGTTTTTTTTTTACTATAGTTTGCCTACGAAAACTTTTACTTCGCAGGTTAACTGTTTTAATTCGGGGAAAGATCATAACCGGCTCCTAATGCAGAACCAGTAGACCAAATACAGGGGAGATGAAAGACCTGGATATTGAACAAGGAAGAAGAAGCGAACTAAGCAGGGGACGAAAAACAAGATTTTTAATTTCAGAAATTGCTATCAGCACAGGGAATTTGTCTGATTCGTGATTGCTGTTTAAAGAAGCTATGATTGATTTGAGAAATTTGACCTTTATTTAGATCCCTATTGATATCTACTCTTTCAATACTGCAATAGATTTAGAGCAGGGATGTGTGGATTTTGTGATTTGCTGTGAACGAAGCAATTCACAAAAAACATATAGTTTACTGTGATTTTTCTTTGATTATAGCAAAATATATTTTCAGGCATATACAGCTATAATGATATTTTTTAGCAAATAATAAATTATTATAATATTTTGTTTAGTGGATATAATAAATTATTATAATATTTTGTTTAGTGGATATAATAAAT